AAGAAAAACAAAAAGGTTTCGACATATCGTCTCTGCGGCATTAGAGTATTGTTATACGGGAACATACCTATTCTATTGTTAATAGACTCTCCCAGATATAATAAGTAGTAGTAGTAGAAGTCGCCAGGGGGCTCAGTGAAGTTGGTGCGTCAGTCGATGTCGGACATTAAAGTATCAACCACCACAACTAGATTGCTGCGTCATTAACTATTATTTCAAGTTCCTAACGTTTTGTTTTTTTAGTGAAATACAAGCTTCCACTGTGAAAACTATTCTACAACAGGTATATATTTATTATTCTTAGCCTGGAACAAAACTGAATAAAGATAAGAATTAAACATTGAGTTCTGCAAATTTTCGAAGCGGAAATGGTCTGTCTATACTCTAAGTGCTTTTAATATTGCTGACATTTAAATGGTTTCCATTCCTTTTCAGATTACCAATTTTTTTCAAAAGATGTTCTAAGTTAACCAATAATGCTGGACGGCAACGACATCTGTTGTCTTTTGGCGAGGATAAAGTGTTAGCAATTCTCAGAACTTACTTCAGTATTCTTGCTGATTTTTATTAATGTTGTCCTTTGTATGCTTAGTATTCTCCCTCAAGCTAATAATGGATACACATAGGTGTATATATGGCGTGTTGTTAGGGAAAACCAAGTGTTTCGCGCTGGTGTTAGACAGAAAGAACGAGTTACTCAGACATCTTCTTTAACTGTTCTTTGAAACAATTTATAACTTGTGTTGTGTGATGATCTTATTTTGACATCATTTGGCTGAACAGTCCTGGGCATGACGATAAACTACACCCGGCAGCAAGGCCTCTGATCGGGAAATTGGAGATTTTGTGGAGAGCAAAAGCACTTCTGTTGTTCCATAACTATTGTTCCTAGGTTCACCCTGACCCGGCGTGGTAGCACCTGTTAGAGCCCCAGCTATGTGCAAATCGTGGACGTCCAAACAAAAGTAAAACAGCATGAAATTATAAAAGTACATTTTAATATTAACAAAATAGTAACAATAGTTATTCATAATACAGTTACCAACAATACCTATCTATAGTATATATTTAGCTGAAGTCATAAAATTGTGTTCAGTTCATTTAGATTTTGGCATTAAATAACCCATAGAGGTGCTGATATAACGCTATACAAAATGAACCAAAAAATCCGAGTTAATTCGAACTTCCAACTTAAAATCAGACTTTCCCTTCCCGTATCCTCCAACTAGTGCACCTTCACAATAGGTGCCCGAGTTCCAATCTGCTCTGGTCTTCCCTTGCTGCAATGTGTGTTGTCTTTCAATTGTGATTGTCTATGTGCAATTCCTCAGTAGAAACCCCAACGCTGCATCAGCAGACCAAATCAATGACAGACAGTATTCCTTAAATTTCTTTTCATTTTATCATATTTTTTTAGGGGCGTAATATTCGTCACTTTTTGGAGAAGCATGGGAAAGAGAGAGAGAGAGAGAGAGGGAGAAAGAGAGGGGTGGAGACAGAAGGAGACAGACAGACAAACATTCGTAATTCAGTTTGATTCCTTTCGGTTCAAATTTCAGAACAAAAGTCTTATTGTGTACCATATCCCTTCAGGCAATCATGGCTTTCCTCAACTTCCTGTTTTTTTTTTGTAACTTCTGACCATTTATACCTTTGCTCTTCGAACCAAGCGGGCTGGTGATACAGAATACTTCTTACCTTCATATGGCTTACCTGCCGTTCAGTTGGATATTAAAATTTGATTGGGTCTCCTGGTTTGCGTAAGAAGATCCGTTGGATGCTGTGACTAAATATGGTCAGTTGGCCCGGATAGTGCAATCCATTGAATAGTAAGACTAAATCTGCCCTGGATAGAGCGATCCGTTGGATATACTGACTAGACATAGTCTCCTGACCTGGTTGAGACAATTTATTGTATGTTGAGACGAGATCTGGTCTGTTGGCCAGCGTAGGAGGACCCGTTGGATGCTGTGACTAGATATGGTCAGTTAGCTGGGATAGTGAAATCCAATTGAATACGGAGACTAGATCTGGCCTAGATAGATCATTTCGTTGGATACTGTGACTAGGTCTGGTCTCATTGCCTGGATATGACAATCTATAGTATGTTGAGACTAGATCTGGTCCCCATGTTTGAGTAGGGTTATCCGTTGGATATTGCGACACGATCTGGTCTGCTGGTCTGGATAGAGCAATCTATTGAACACGAAGACTAGATCTGGCCTAGATAGATCATTTCGTTGGATACTGTGACTAGGTCTGGTCTCATGACCTGGATAAGACAATCTATATTATGTAGTGACTAGATCTGGTCCCCATGTTTGAGTAGGGGTATCCGTTGTATGTTGCAACAAGATCTGGTCTGCTGGTCTGGATAGGGCAATCCATTGAATACGGAGACTAGATCTGGCCTAGATAGATCATTTCGTTGGATACTGTGACTAGGTCTGGTCTCATTGCCTGGATATGACAATCTATAGTATGTTGAGACTAGATCTGGTCCCCATGTTTGAGTAGGGTTATCCGTTGGATATTGCGACACGATCTGGTCTGCTGCTCTGGATAGGGCAATCCATTGAATACGGAGACTAGATCTGGCCTAGATAGATCATTTCGTTGGATACTGTGACTAGGTCTGGTCTCATGGCCTGGATAAGACAATCTATAGTATGTCGTGACTAGATCTGGTCCCCATGTTTGAGTAGGGGTATCCGTTGAATGTTGCGACATGATCTGGTCTGCTGGTCTGGATAGGGAAATCCATTGAATACGGAGACTAGATCTGGCCTAGATAGATCATTTCGTTGGATACTATGACTAGGTCTGGTCTCATGACCTGGATAAGACAATTTATAGTATGTTGAGATTAGATCTGGTCCCCATGTTTGAGTAGGGGTATCCGTTGGATATTGCAACACGATCTAGTCTGCTGGTCTGGATAGGGCATTCATTGAAAACGGAGACTATATCTGGCCTAGATAGATCATTTCGTTGGATACTGTGACTAGGTCTGGTCTCATGGCCTGGATAAGAAATGTATAATATGTTGAGACTTGATCTGGTCCCCATGTTTGAGTAGGAGTATCCGTTGGATATTGCAACACGATCTGGTCTGCTGGCTTAGATAGGGCAATCCATTGAATACGGAGACTATATCTGACCTAGATAGATCATTTCGTTGGATACTGTGACTCGGTCTGGTCTCATGGCCTGGATAAGACAATGTATAATATGTTGAGACTTGATCTGGTCCCCATGTTTGAGTAGGGGTATCCGTTGAATGTTGCAACAAGATCTGGTCTGCTGGTCTGGATAAGGCAATCCATTGAATACGGAGAATAGATCTGGCCTAGATAGATCATTTCGTTGGATACTGTGACTAGGTCTGGTCTCATGGCCTGAATAAGACAATGTATAATATGTTGAGACTTGATCTGGTCCCCATGTTTGAGTAGGGTTATCCGTTGGATATTGCTGGTCTCTGAATAGGGCAATCCATTGAACACGATCTGGTCTGCTGGTCTGAATAGGGCAATCCATTGAATACGGAGACTAGATCTGGCCTAGATAGATCATTTCGTTGGATACTGTGACAAGGTCTGGTCTCATGGCCTGGATAAGACAATCTATAGTATGTCGTGACTAGATCTGGTCCCCATGTTTGTTGGATACTGTAGGGGTATCCGTTGAATGTTGCGACATGATCTGGTCTGCTGGTCTGGATAGGGCAATCCATTGAATACGGAGACTAGATCTGGCCTAGATAGATCATTTCGTTGGATACTGTGAATAGGTCTGGTCTCATGACCTGGATAAGACAATTTATAGTATGTTGAGATTAGTTCTGGTCCCCATGTTTGAGTAGGGGTATCCGTTGGATATTGCAACACGATCTGGTCTGCTGGTCTGGATAGGGCAATCCATTGAATACGGAGACTAGATCTGGCCTAGATAGATCATTTCGTTGGATACTGTGACTAGGTCTGGTCTCATGGCCTGAATAAGACAATGTATAATATGTTGAGACTTGATCTGGTCCCCATGTTTGAGTAGGAGTATCCGTTTGATGTTGCAACGCGATCTGGTTTGCTGGCTTAGATAGGGCAATCCATTGAATACGGAGACTAGATCTGGCCTAGATAGATCATTTCGTTGGATACTGTGACTCGGTCTGGTCTCATGGCCTGAATAAGACAATGTATAATATGTTGAGACTTGATCTGGTCCCCATGTTTGAGTAGGGGTATCCGTTGGATATTGCAACACGATCTGGTCTGCTGGTCTGGATAGGGCAATCCATTGAATACGGAGACTATATCTGGCCTAGATAGATCATTTCGTTGGATACTGTGACTAGGTCTGGTCTCATGGCCCGGATAAGACAATCTATAATATGCTGAGACTTGATCTGGTCCCCATGTTTTAGTAGGGGTATCCGTTGGATGTTGCGACAAGATCTGGTCTGCTGGCTTGGATAGGGCAATCCATTGAACTAGATCTGGCCTGGATAGAGCGATCTGTCGGATACTGTGACTAGATCTGGTCTCCTGGGCTGGATAGGCTGATCGGTGGGATTTGGGGATTAAATCTGGTTTTCTGACCTGGATAGGCCGATCGGTTGGAAATGGGTTTTCTCGTGTTGAAATTATATTCCGTTGTCTATTGACAGAATAAATAGGTCAATGGGAAATGCCAGACCGAAAAGAATCTTTGTTTCCAACTGCGTAGATTGATGTTCATATTAATTAACCAACATAAAACGTAAATTCATTGTTTTGATAAAGTTGACACCAATGTAATTAAGAAGTAACGGGAAACTGCAATTCAAAATTATTGAAAAATAAGTAAGCTTAAGACATTTCCTTTGTTTCATTAATACGGATAGAGGGGTTACTACTTGCTTGGCTGATCTGAGGTTTGTCAGTCAGTCAGTCTGTCTGCCTGTCTGTCTATCTATCTCTCGCAGTCTGTTCATATGTATCTACAGTTTGTTCCCATCTATGTATGTATCTATTTATATCTATATATCTCTGCCTTTCATTCTATCTATCTATCTATCTATCTATCTATCTATCTATCTATCTCGGTTTTTATATATATCAGTCTGTTCATCACTCTCACTATCTAAATCTCTTCGTCATCTATCTATCTATCTATCTATCTATATATATATATATATATATATATATATATATATATATATATATATATAATATATCAAAATCCTTCATTATCTATCTATCTATCTATCTATCTATCTATCTATCTATCTAAATCTCTTCGTCATCTATCTATCTATCTATCTATCTAACAAAATCTCTTCACTATCTATCTATCTATCAACATCTCTTCATTATCTATCTATCTATCTATCTATCTATCTATCTATCTATCTATCTATCTAACAAAATCTCTTCATTATCTATCTATCTATCTATCTATCTATCTATCTATCTATCTATTAAAATCTCTTCATTAACTATCTATCTATCTATTAAAATCTCTTCATTATCTATCTATCAAAATCCCTTCATTATCTATCTATCTATCTATCTATCTATCTATCTATTTAAAATTCTTCATTATCTATCGAACTGCCAATAAATTAGAGACAACTTTATAAACTGTGGCTCCTTCTTTAACGTGAATGACGTTGGCTACTCGAGGAGGGGGGACTTCGAGATGCTGAAATCGTTGGACTGGTAAATCTCTAGATGCTCAATTCAGGACTATCACTAACTGAGTAGTATTTGTTAGTTTGGCTACAGTAAATTTAATGAGGTTTGCAACGAATCCCATACGCAAATAGCTCGGCTTTAGATCCGGTGAGCGCCAGTTGCGGACAATAGACTATATAGAAGTTACCCGAGGGTTGATGGAACCAGTACTGTGCCATACGTGAATGTTTTATGCGGAGTTATCTTACTGGATCCTACCGTCACAACTAGGAAACGTCGATGGCGAGAATGAACTAAAAAAAAAAACAACCTGTGCGTGTCACAACTGCCAAAATAGATTCCAGTTTCACTCGAGTTTTTTGAAAAAAAAAACGATACACCCTATACCAGGGGTCGGCCACCTACGGCACGCGTGCCGCACGTGGCGCACCAAGAAATTTCCAATGGCGTGCAGCTGCAAATGACATCACGAAGTTCGATCCAATAACTATTACAACGCTAAGAAGATATTTAGCTGTTTTCAATTTTAATATATAGTAAAGTATATATATTATATATTACTATATAAAATATATTGTAGAACAGGTATATTGACCTTGACTTGTATAAAGATACGTATGCTGTTGGCACACTCAATGATTTAAAAAAAAAAACCTAAGTCGACGCATAGCAAAAACTTGCCGATCCCTGCCCTACACTATAACACGGCAACCGCCAGCTTGTAAAATATCAGGTCATCCCATAAGTTCTGTCCGAATTTTGAACAAAGAAAACAAGTCACCAAATGTTACATTTAATTACAGATTAAATCAACAATGTATTTTCCCTGATTATCTATGACTTCCTTCCATCTATTAATAAGCTTACTAATTCCATTACTGTAAAATTCTTTTGGCTTTGATTTGAAGAACTCACAAATGTCAGTTTTAACCTCTTCCTGTGTTACAAAAGCTGTTTCTTCCAAATGATTCTGTAAGCTACGAAACAAATGGTAATCTGAAGGAGCAAGATCGGGAGAATAAGGTGGATGAGGAATTTTCTCCCAACCAAGTTCTTCGATCTTTTGTGACGTGATTCTTGCTGTGTGGGGTCGCGCATTGTCCTGATGAAACATCACCTCTTTTCGATTCACTAGAACAGGTTTTTTTTTCTCAAAGCTTGGTTCAAACGCTCTAATTGCTGACAGTATATTTGAGCATTAATTGTTGCATTATGTGGTTAGAATTCAAAGTGGATTATAACTTGGCGATCCCACCAGATTGAAAGAACCTTTTGCCCATGAAGTTCCCTTCACGGCTGTGGCTGGAGTTCTTCCCCTTTACCAAGCCGCTGTCTACGACGCTTAACATTTAGATAAAAGATCTATTTTTCGTCGCCAGTCACAAGTCTATCCAAGAAAGGTGAAACATTTGGCGAGAATGGAGAGAAGAGCAGATATCAACTCGGGATTTGAGGTTGTTTTCAGACAATTAATGACGCACCCATTTTCCAAGTTTAGGAATTTTTCCTAGTTGTTGAAGATGACGATGAACAGTTGTATGGTTTGAACTGAGAACCACTGCCAATTCTCCAACTGATAAAGCAGGATTTTCTTCAAGGGCTGCTTCAAGAAGCTTTTCATCAAACTCAACTGGACGTCCGGTTCGATCTTCATCATCAAGGACGAAATCTCCACCTCTGAATTTTGCAAACCATCTTCTGCAAGTTCTTTCATTCACACATTCCTCTCCATAAACTGAGTGAATGTTTCTAACCGCTTCGGCTGCTGAGTTTCCTTTCTTGAACTCATAAAGCATTATGTGCCTCAAATGATTCTTGGGTACTTCCATGTTAGCAGGGTTTTAATCAAACAAAATTTAATTTTATTGTTCTCTGAAATAAAATTTGATCAGTTTAAATGCATCTAAACATAAAAATAATGTTCATCTCCATTAGACATTATAAAATACTCTTTAAATTTCGTTCATTTTTAACAAAAAGTTAAAATTCGGACAGAACTTATGGGATGACCTGATACTATGCTAGATCCTTTGCAGTTTTCGGAAGAATCTTAGAATAATCCAGAACCTATACAAGCAACAAACCGCCTATATACGTATAGAAAATGAATTCAGTGAATATAGAAAGGAGTGTAAGACAAGGATGTGTCTTCTCATCGGACTGCTTCAATATATAGAGTCAGGCGATTCTGAAAGAATTAGAAGTCCTGCCGGAATTCATCATTTGTAGCCATAGTCTTAACAATATAAGATGGCAGTGTTGATAGTACAGGCAGAACAGAAACTACAAGAATTCCTACAGTGTTTAGTGAAAGAAACCAAGAAGAAAAACATCAACTGCAAGAATACAGAATGCATCATTGCTAGCAAAAGGAACACCTCAACATGCAAATTCCAAATTGGAAATACAAAAGCCGGACAAGCACAACAATTTAAATATCTGGGAAATGTTTTAACAGAGGACGAAAAGTCCAACACTGAAAACCGATATCGAAATTGGGATAGCAAAAGATGCCTTTCAAAAGCTAAGCAAAGTATTAAGAAACAAGAAAATATCGCTAGAAATAAACTAAAGGAGTACTGAACTGTTACGCGATTTTAGTCATGGCAGTGAATGTTGGACAATCTGCTTACAGATGAAGAAGAGACCTGAAGCAAGAGAAAGAAAGAACAGATTACTGAACTGTTACATAATACCAGTCCTCCTATATGGCACTGAATGCTGGACAATCTCCTCACAGATTAATAAGAGACATGAAGCAAGAGAAACAGAGAAAAGATGTCTGAACTGTTACGTAGTACCAGTCCTCCTATATGGCACTGAATGCTTGACAATCTCCTCACAGATTAATAAGAGACATGAAGCAAGAGAAACAAAGAAAAGAGTACTGAACTGTTACGTAGTACCAGTCCTTCTATAGGGTACTGAATGCTGGACAATCTCCCTCACAGATGAAGAAGTGACTTGAACCAAGAGAAAGAAAGAAGAGTACTGAACTGTTACGTAATACCAGTCCTCCTATAGGGTACTGAATACTGGAAAATCTCCTCACACATGAAGAAGAGATTTGGAGCAAGAAAAACAAAGAAAAGAGTACTGAACTGTTACGTAATATCAGTCCTCTTATTTGGCACTGAATGCTGGACAATCTCCTTACAGATGAAGAAGAGACTTGAAGCAAGAGAAACAAAGAAGAGTACTGAACTGTTACGCAATATCTGTCCTCTTATATGGCAGTGAATTCTGGGCAATCTCCTACTTGAAGCAACAGAATGTGGTCCTATACAAAGATGCCGAGGATACTATGGACAAAACATGTGAGCAACGACAATATTTAGGAGAGATTGGAAACTAAAAACACATTTATATTCAGAATTAGAAAGAGACATTTGGCATTTCTAGAGCACATGATGAGGAAAGAAGTCTTGGGAGATTTGAGACTCACAGGACATTTTGAAGGTAAGATGGCCAAATAAACAGCGTAGCCTAGGTGTAGGGGGGAAATAATAATAATTCATCGCCTACACGTCCGCATAAACGCTTTTGAACTCTGTCAAAGCTGGCAAGAGGATTCGGTAGGTCTGCACAAGATGTGGCAGTAATACTCCATTTTTGGTCTGACATGACTCTTGCAGAGACAAAGCGTAGCATGTGGAGGTGGGTACTTACTGAAGCGGTATTGACAGACAATCTTAAACTCTACTATCTCCCCTTCTTTCTTTCTTTCTTTCTTTTTTTTCTTTCTTTCTTTCATTCATTTTCTTACTGAAACTAAACTGTTTTGCTCCTCTTTCACCGCGATCAAAACGGAATAGCACATTATTTATGAGTTATTGACAAGGCGTAACGGTCGTGCGAAATAATGAAGGTAGGCACAAGCACAATTGTTATAGGAAGTTTTTTCACACTATTGTTCATCCAAGAACCACTCAAGGTAGAGGGCTACCGAGTGAAGGTAAGAATTGAAGGTAAGATTATCCTTGGCTTGAAGTGGTTAAGATTTTATCATTCGGGGAAGTATCCTGTCGGGTGCAGCGATTCTTAGGAAGAAGCTGTCCGAATGATTATCGATTCTCCCTGTGAACATGGCATAGCGTGCCTTAGTTGTAAAGGTCTGAAGAAGGGAATGGAACACGTCGGAGCATTTTCCATGGACATAGCGATAGATTAGCGATAGGCTTGCGAAGTTGCGCCTCTGTGTAATGTGCTTGTAGGGAGGGAAATAATTCATCGCCTACACGTCCGTGTAAATGCTTTTGAATTCTGTCAAAGCTGGTAAGAGGATTGGGTGGCTCTACCCCAGATGTGGCGACAATACTCCATTTTTGGTCTGACCTGACTCTTGCAGAGATAAAGCGTAGCAAGTGGAGGTGGGTACTTACTGAAGCGGTAGAAGAGACCGTCTGTT